GGTGGAGCCCTGGGGCGAGCTACCGCTTAAAGGTATCGACGGAGTGAAGACCAAATCCATGGACAAGTGCCGCATCAAGATAACACTCGGGCACCGAGCGGTTTACACTTTAGATGTCTGGGTCGGGAACATCGGCCGCGGCATCGACGTTCTCCTGGGGATGAACTTGATGGTCGTCGCCGGAGTCCGGTTGTGCGCTCACAAAGGAGAAGTGGTGCTCCCAGACGAGGAACGAATTCTCCTCATCGTGAGTCCCAAACGTGCGCACGTTGGGCGAACCGTTGACGTGTCTATCCATGAGAGCCTCTGGTTAGCACCCGGGGACAGCAAGTACATACCGATTCGAACCTCCGAACCTGACCTCGGGTCTATGGACACGTGGGTCAGTCAGGGGGACCGTTGGGTGACTCGGATCATTTTCAGCCCAAAAGGGCTCCAGGCGCCGCCCAAATAGTGAACATTCCCTGGGGACCGGTCCAGGTGCTTTCGCATACAAAGGTCACCACCCTCACCGACCGGGATCGGCTCCCCTTGGGAACTAATTTCGTGTGCCCCGGGCTCCTACCAGTACGACAAGCGTGAATTCCTCGTTTACGAAAATACGCGGTGTCCCGCGACGGAATGCCGGCTGGACGCGGACGCCCGGGTATCGGAGCAAGCTGCCCTTCCCATGGTGGATCGGCCAGAGTACCCGATCCCGACTCGTGTTCTCCAGCGGGACCCAAGAGCCTCAGCTGCTGTACTCGAGGTCCTCGCAGCCCACCGTGACATGCAAACCCCTGATCACGCTGGGAGTGGACAGCCAACGCAGGTGACCTCAGCTGCCCAGCATGAAACAAGTTCCAGGCCCGGTGACTACCCGGCCGCAACCGCTCTCGCGCCTGGTGCCGGCCACGTCATGGCAGCCTCAGACGAGACCCCCGAACCGGACCGCCCACGCCCTCAGGCGAGTGGATGGGACGTTTAGACCCGAAACCTCCACTCCTTCGGGAATCATCCTCGCTGCGGAACTCGGAGTCTCTCGGGAATCGGCCCGGGAGTCCCCCGAGTCCACGCCTGCCGTCACCCAAGTCACGTTGGCTCGGTCGGTTGCGATGGTGGCGATGGCGGGGGAGAGTCTAGACGCGGACCCAACCGTCTACTATCACCAAGGTTCCGACTTCGTAAGCTCAAGAACCAGCTAGCGTACCTTTCCGACCTCAGTGATCTCCGGTCCGAAGCCTACATCGACGATGCGATCGTCGGGGAGCCCGGGGAGTCGGACCCCGAAGAGGAAGAGAAGCTCCGGGCGATTCTCCAGAAATACCGAATGGTTTTCTTGGGAGAAGGGAACGCGCTTCCTCCCCCGGCCCGGGGCGTCGTGTGCAACCTGGAGGTTGGGGGCACGAAACCCATTTCCATGCGGTCCCGGAGGATTCCTGCTAACTTATTGTACAAGGTGTATGAGTTGCTCAAGCGTCTTTTAGAAACAGACCTGATCGAGTATTCCAACTCGGAATGGGCATCGGCCATTGAAGAAGAATGATACCGATGTCCACTTGTGCATCGACTACCGGTTGGTGAACCAGCTGATCAAGCTGATGAACTACCCCTACCCCTAATCGACGAACTCATGAACAACTTCACCGCCACTATGTGGTTCATGACCCTGGACATAGCAAGTGGATTCTTGGCGGTTCCGATGACCGCCCGAGCTCAGCTGATTTCGGCCTTCATTTGCCCGCTCGGACACTTTCAGTGGAAGCGCATGCAGTTCGGGCCGATGGACGCCCCGTTGATTTACCAACAGCTCCTGGACAATTGTCTTTGGGGTTTCGTCCGACTACCCGCGGAGGTGTTAGAGTTCCTGGGAATATCTCCCGATGACTCGGTCGCCCAGGAATCCCAAGGCACGGAGCCCCGGGGGGACGGTGGTCTCCAGGACCAGCACTGACACTGTGTTCCATCAGAACCGGGTCGCCCCGGAGCAGATGGGGCCTATGCTGTCCTGGAGTTCGAACATCGATGACATCATCTACGGCGCTTCGTCCTGGGATGACCTGTGCAAGACGCTGAATGCCCTCCTGTGCCGACTGCGGTACTGGAATATTTCGGTGAGCCTCCCAAAGAGTGAGTTCGGGGTCAAGAAATGCAAGTACCTCGGGCACGACATCAGCTCGGACGGAATCCGGACGTCCCCAAAACTGGCGGAAAATTCCTCAATTTGCCTTTCACGAAGATCCAGAAGGAAGTACAGTCCTTCCTCGGGAGCCTTAACTACTACGCCCAGTTCATCGAGGATCTACTCGTGCTAGCAGCTGCCCTCTACGAAGCATCGGACGAGCAACTCCGCTCGGGACGAGATCTGGAGAAGGCCAAATATGCCTTCAAGATACTCAAGGACCGATTAGTGTCGACGCCACTACTCCAGCATCCCGACCCCTGGGAGGCAGTATGTAATCATATTGCATGCCAACCACTGGGCTATCAGCGCGGTTCTAGGGCAAGATTACGACGGCACCATACTACCCGTGCGTTGCGTGGGACGGGTTCTTCACGATGCCGAACTCCAATACCACCCCGCTGAGAAGGAAGTATTAGCACTGCTCCGAGTCCTGAACACATGCCACATCATGATTATGAGTTGTTCTGAGAAGAAAATTCGCGTATACACTCGGTACCCGGAGTTAACATGGCTGTTCAAGTCCAAGACTGTGGACGGTAGATGTCTCAAGTGGGCGGTCAATCTGTCTCCCTGGGGCCTTGACATTCGACGAGTCGAGAACGACGAAGATGGCTTAGCAGCGATTCTGGGGGGCGGGTACCACTCTCGATGAGGTTGCCGAGACCCTAGTTCCGGAATAGGGTTCCCGGATCAAGACACCGCCAGTCAGTCTAGAAATGCTCTCTAGTGACCACATCGGGCACCGGCTGAGCTTCGATGAAGCCGCCAAGAGAAATGGGTCGGGGAGCGCCGCTTGCATTCTCTGGAGCCTCCCGAGTTGGGAAGTCGTCCCGGCCACGGGACACTTTCTGGAAACGGCTACCGTGAACGAGGCCGATTACTCCGGATTAGTCAAAGGCATGCAAATCGCTTTAGACGCGGGCGTCTAGGAATTGGTGGTGGTTGGATAGCAATACAGCAGTTCCAGGGTGTTATTGGTTGTACCCAACCCCACCTGTTGAGGTTGCTCCAGGAAGCCGAAGGACTCCAAGCTAAGTTTAAGTCCCTCCGCCTAGTACATGTGAAGAGAGATTTCAACGCCGCCGCTGATTACATTTCCAAGCGAGCCATCCAAGAGCAGTCATCATTGGAAGTTACTTCAAGGCCTGAACTGGATCCACGAAAAACTGACAAGGACCCGAGCCCCCGAGAACAGTGGCTGGTGGAGTGCGCGTTCATAGCCACAGCCCGAGGCATACCTAAGTTCCCCGGGGGGACCAGAAGGCAAGACGTTCGCAATGACGCGCTAAACGTCAGAGCAAGGCAAAGCAACGGAGGAATAGACCCCTGAACCCGGAGCCGACTACCCCGAAACCATCAGCTCCAGAATCTACGAGTCAGGAACCGAAGGCGCGGAAGACAAACCGACGGTCGGCCCCCGAAGCCCTGACCTCCAGAACTCCGAAAAGGACCCCGAAGACGTTCGCAGAGAACGATAGAGGAGGGTTTTTTCTCACCAGGCACACAACCTGGGGCTAGCACCCCTGGTAAGCTTCCTCCGAGGCGAGACCGAACAGCTGTCCCTGAGATACACAACACACCTGGCCAAGATTGCGGACCAGTTTGTGCTGGACTCCCGGGACGCACTGTTCTATGTGAGTCGAAATACCCTAGAACGTCCCCAGGACGCCGCTGATCGGCTACGCCTGGTAGTTCCCCAGGACCTCCAGGAGGCCATTCTGCACCACTGGCATGCGGACCTCCAAGGTGCCCGTCAGGGCATCATCCGGACCTACGAGAGACTGCGCAAAGAATTTTATTGGATTGGGATGTTCAAGGACACTGGCGATACGTCAAATGGTGCGTGGATTGCGTTACGGCTAAGGGGTTACCCCAGAACCCAGGCTCGTCACCCGGCAACTTGCTGGCTACATGACCTTCCAAGTCGTCTCGATGGACTTTGTGATACCGTTGCCCCAGTCAGCCCGGGGCATAGAGCCCTACTCCTGTTCCAGTGCGGTTCTCGGGTTTCATCATGTGTAAAGCCATGGCGAGCACTGAAGCCCAATATGGGGTTGAGGCTTTCGATGAATGCGTGTTCCGGAGGTTCAGAGTCAGCGAAATGATCCGTCACGACCAAGACCCGCGATTCATGGGTCCGGTGTTCAAACACTTCCGGGAGATGCTCGGGAGCCGACAACGCGCGACCCTGGCTTATCGGCCCCAGGCCAACGGCCAACAAGAGAGGTCAGTGCAGACAGTGATCCGGAGTGTCAAAGTGTACGTACAGACGGTAGCCCAGTGTGACTGGGACGAGTTGGTGGAAAAACACATGTGGGCGCTGAACACCTCATTCGACATTACTCGACTCGACACGCCAATTTATTTAGTGCACGGCTGAGACGCCCAGGGCACAGTCGAAGCCATGATGGGATACTTCCTCCGGGATGTCCAACTCCGGGACGCTCAAGAACGGCGCACCAAGATCCAGCGTCAGGTAGAGTACGCTAGGCCCTAGGCCCGGGACCTCCAGGCAATGGCCAAAAAGCGTCGGGCTGAAGACCATAATTGAAAATGGAAACAGCTCACGGAGAATACCGATTTTACCCCTCGGTCCACGTTAGCCGTTTGAAGCCCCGAAATACCCGGAACGACCCAGGGAGGCCATGAGCATCCCGGAGGACGACGACTTCTACGCCGCGCTGCTCCGTGAAGACAGCTGGGAACCCGACGAGGGCTCCGGAGAATATGAATTAGAAGCAATACTCTATGTGCACTGGATTACCCGGACCCGCGCCAGCCGACGTGAAGGAATACCAGGTGAAACGGAAGGGGTGTGAAGCGCCGGACTGGGTTCCTCAGGGGCGTCTCAATTGCGGGAGACTACTCTACGAGTTCGACCAAGGAGAGCGAGCCCGTGTGCGTTTCCAGGCTATGCAGTCTGGAGACGAGCTCCCGGTTGAAGAAATCCGGTAGAGTCCTCGGGCGGGGACCCAGGACCTTCCGTGGTAGTGGGCTCTCGAGCGCCCTCCGGGAATCTCATGTTCCAAGTCGAGAACGATCCCTGGGGCATGATCGAAGTTCATGTTCCCTGGGGCGTGGACCCGGAGCACACTGTTAAGTGCGCCCCGGGTATCCCCCAGAAGTCTTGTGTCCCCGGATGAAAATACTCTCTGGGGCACAAGTGATTGTATGTTTGCATGTCATATACATGTTATCAAAGGAAAGAACAAGAAGTCCCGGAGACAACAAGACAAACGAAGCAAACGCAAAGATATATTAGGAGGTCATACGAAGACTCCGGGGTTAGCTAACCCCAGGCTGACTCGGCTCCTGAGAACTAACGACGGCCGCGAGGCATAACGTATTCCTTGGCCTCAGGAACTGGGAGGCGATCAGCGTTACTTGTCACGGGTGTGACCCCTGAGAACTAACGACGGCCACGAGGCATAACGTATTCCTCAGCCTCAGGAACTGGGAGGCGGTCAGCGTTACTTGCCACGGGTGTGTCCCAGACGGCTGGCAAAACACTCTCCGCGATACGCTCCTCGGTGCAAGAAGACCCCCACTAGAGACACACAGGCTCGCGCTGGTCCGGCAGGTCAAGTTGGACACGAAGACTCTTACGGGCCGCTGGGTCCATGGGGATTCACACGCACGCCTTCCGGGAGTGACGCCAAAATGCCGCCTCCGTCCGGAACGGTTTGCGCTCGGGAGGAGGGAGCGTAGCCACGTACGCTTGGACATCCTTGAGGCCCCTCTCATACTTCCGCTGGCGCCCAGCCCGATCCTGGTGGAGGAGAGCGGGTGCCTCGATGTTTCGGTTAGCACAATCCAGTGCGCGCGCTTCCACTCCTCCCTGCGCCAAACCCATATGAACAAGACGTAGCGCTTGGCAATGACCACGAACTCCGGGGTCAACGTTCCCCGGGCAAACAATAAGACCGTGACGCGCTCATCGAACATGTCGTCCCAGGGAGCTTGGGTTTCGATGATGTCTTGATACTCCGCGACTGGAACCCGCTTCGCCACGGAGTGGACCTCGTCATTCATGACTTCGTAATCCTGGAAACTCCGATTCTGATACTTGTGACGAGTGCTAGTACGGCGCACGCATGTGTTGTATATAATCCAGGATTTTGCCAAATGGGTGTCTGTGTGGTACCCCTCATGACCCATCCCCGGAGTCCACGGCAGAAACTTAACCCGGTGCCGGACGATGGACTCATCATTCAAAGAGACGTCAGATGGCGCCGGCTCAGTTCTCTCCTGGGGAGTTCGCGAAGAACTTGATTTGCCGGGCGAAGGAGTTGCAGAAGTAACTCGCTTAGGACAGGGGTCTTCGACTTGGGTCGGGGTCGATTGCCGAGAGAAGTCTTATTGTCAGTTTCATTGCCGTCGCGTTCGTCACCCGAGGCATCCTCCTCGTGTTCAGAAGGGCTGGGGCTATTCCGGGGCTGGAGTGGCACCGAAGGCCAAGGGTTCACGCCCCCTGCTATCCCCAGCTCCCAGACATCATCCTCGGCCTCGGGCAGAGCCCGGTCGAAGAACTCTTCGGGCACGTGCTTGAACCAGGGTACTTCATCCAAGGCGGAAAGTATCAGTGCCGGGCGCAGGAACTCCACCTGCACCGTTTTCCGGAGGCTAACGTGTACCACGACGTCTTCGGTAGTGTGGCCCTGGATAGCGTTCTCCGCGCCCGCCAGGGTACAGCGATCCGTGTCCAGCTGCTAGTATTCCAGGACGTCCATACGCACATCTGCAACCTTGGCGCAAGTCATCACCTGCGCCAACTACTCCACAGGCCGGACCGGGTCGGCGTCAGAGTCTATGGACCGGTAAAAAACCTTTCGGGTCGGCCTGGGGGTCGTAGAGCGCAGGTATGATCTGGCGCAGCCCGTCAGGAGACATCCGGGGCCCCGGCCTCAGGACGCCTTCAATCTCGACGTTAGGGGCCTAGACTCCCCGTCCATAGGGGAGTCTTCTTCGCGTTTCGCTTCCTGGGGGCTTCTTTTCTCCTCGACATCACCTCCGCCCATGTCGTAGTCCGCGTCGAACAAGTTACCAAGGATGGCAGCTCCCGAAACCTCCGGATCAGGCCGCAGCAGAGAGTTCCCTTGAGAAACAGGAGGAGTGGAAGGGAGCCTCAGGACCAGTCGAGTGAGAAGAAGTATCCCCGGGAACAGTGGCCTTCTTTGGCCGGGTTAGAAGAGGGGACCCCCTGGGCTTTGTTCGGAGGAGCTGGCGCGTGAATGGGCTTGGGCTTCCCAGAATCACCCGCTAAGGTATCGCCTCCTCCGCCGACTCCACCTTCTCCGTCGGAAGCCGCGCTGGAAGCGCCGTCGGAGACTTCTTCTTCACTCTCGACATGTGTAGGTTGGAACGGAGGAGGCGGGGCATTATTCCGGCCCACCATGAGGAACACTGAATATGGGGGCTGCTCCGTCCGACAGTACGCCGACAGCTGCTCTCGGAACTCGGTCACCCCCGTCATAACAGCAGGGCTACCTTGGTCATTAAAAACCGGAATAAGTTGTCTGGGCTGAGCAGGGTCCTGAAGCGTCGTCCTTCCGTGCGCTAGTCTTCGTTCGTCACGCGGAGCTTCCGGATTTGCCTCGACAAGCAACGGACCTCGGCATCATGCTTGGCTGGGGAAACCGTTTCGCCGGGAACCACCGTAGGTCGAGAGGCGAGCAGCGCCCGTACGTCCTCGAGCTGAGTCTTCGCGGAAACGAGCTCCAGGGACACTTCGGTGCGAACTGCCTGGTAGTTTTTACCTTTTCCCGTCCCACCGCCAGCGCTTTCTCCGTAGCACCCCAGGCGTTCGAAGCCTTGGCCGCTTCGCTCAGCGCCTCCGTGAGTGCCTGTTCAGCATCCAGGTATCTCGTCTCATTCAGCTCCTGACGCGACGCCAGGGTGGCCCCCTGCTGAACCTCCGCTTGGAAGACGGACCGGGTCCGATTACATAACCCTTGATACGAGGAGAGGGAGGTCGCGTCCACCTCCCGGAGAGCAGCCTCCCACTCTCAATCTCGAGCCTCTCGCAGAACAATCTCACGCTCCAGGACTTGCTGGGAGATAGCGTTGGCCACCTCGCTGCGTGGATCCGCGCTGGTCGCCAGGTCGCGAGCCGGTTCCCGTAGTGTAACCGATCCAGAGCGAACCGGAGTGCGTGAAGCGTGTTCAGCACACGATAGCCAAACCGGCTGGAATCGAAGACGTCCAGGAGAGGACCTGATTGAATCTCCGAGGCCCGAGCGCGTTGGCTCGAAACAATGGACGATAAGTCACCAGAGAGATGTTCCGGAGTGAGAATGTCGGTGGGGGTGCGATCGTCAGCAGGAACCAGCTGCGAGAGCGACTCAAGTTGTGGGACCGTAAGCTCTGGAACGAGGACGCCCACGTGTATAAGTCCTTCCACGTCCCAGAAGCGCAGACCCGAGGGGTTGC